ACAGGCGAGAGGCTAGCCATGGTCCACCGCACAAACCAAACTTCTTCTAATTATTAGGCTCGGCCCGCCCTATAGAGTAAGCCCGGGTTTGGAGGTATGTATATAGAGGTTTATAGTTTACATTGTTTCAGCAGGCCACCGAAATCGCCTAAGAGCGACAGCTTGTTAACATATGGCACAGGGTCGCAAGCCCTAGCTTTAGAGGTTCTTCAAGGTTTAGGGTTCAAGGTTATGTCAGGGTTTACAAGTATAGATGGTTCAAGGTTTCGGTCTATGACCTATAGAAAAATATGTATATATACAGATAATGCTTTAGGAGAAGTTCAAGCTTCAGGGTTTAAGGCTATGTTATGTATGGTCCAACAGTGTATATATACATATAGAGATTCACAAGATTTAAGATTTAAGTCCTATATATGTGTTGCTTATAATTGTTTAGGATTTAAGTCTTATGTTTTTGTTTTAAGTATTTTGTGGATAGTTCAAACTTTGGGATCTAAAGTTCCAAAGATAAATACATATATATTTTTTTATATTTCTGGGATTGAAGACTCAGGGTCAAAGGCTATGTTGTACAAAGTGTTCGATGTCTGCGACATGGTAAACCCTTGAACACTGCACCTGCAAAAATCAACACAGCATGAGACAGCAGTGCACAACCGAAGTGGACATGTCTGTGCAAGCATGTTGAACTCACATGTCCAGTGCACTGGCCGATCCCTGCAAAACGTGGCTTCGTGCCTTGCCCAAATTTGTTGATCGTCGTGTCGAGCCCTGCCCCACACTCCTCTCTCCAGGTATGACTCTCCAGGTAAAACTCTCCACAGGTGATCCTCTCCAGGTAGCACACTTCTCTCTCAAAGGTAACTCTCAAAGGTAGAAATGAGCGATCATCATCTCACATCGTCGTCATCGTGGTCGTCATCGTCATCGTGTCACCGGGCATCATCTTAGATCCTCACACCAGCAGGGCCATCACCGATTGTCGTTGCCGTCCTCATGCGATCATCATGAAACCCCAACACACCAGCACAAAATCAACACCACCATATAACCATCATCACGGCGCTTTTTCCTGCTCATCTATATATATATATATATATAACCACAAGAACCAACATCGCGATAATACCCAACGTCATCATCATCATCAACACAGCATCATTGCACCTTCTTCGTTCGCACAACACACAAAAACCAACATCGCTCCCCTAAGCATCATCATCACCCTTGTTGACCTCATCTAAACACCAAAGCAACATCACGATGAAAAGCATAATTATCATCATCGTCATCATCGTCATCGTCGCCCTTGTCAGATGCTGACGAAAATCAACATACTCACCAACATCGGCATACACATCATCATCATAATCATCTTCATCTTTATCATCACCCATCTCAACACAAGACCGAACATCATGATCACACACACCATCATCCACAACTCTGCTCTGTGACATGTCTGCTTGCACACACAGAACTCGCAATCCGGACATGAACTGACATGTTGACATGCACTGATGCACACACAGTCTACCCCGCCCCAGCCCGGACACACACTCCAACCCGCCCCACCCCACCCCATCCACAACCCCAGCCCAATCCACGACCCCCCCCCCCCAACCCCACACCCTCCCTCCCCCCACCCGCCACAAACACACACCCCACACCCCCCACACCCCCCTGCCCCAACCACCCTGCCACGATTCCACGATATTTAAAAGCGCCTGTTCATCCAAAACTGTCCTGCGACCTGTGTCTGGGCCTCATGATTCGTGAATCTTCCTGAAATATCTACACACTTCACAAGTGCATGCATGACATGTGACATAGATGCAGAGCAAGACATGTGTGCATGCAGAAGACTTGAAAACATCTGTTTCTTCTCTCTCTCTCGCCGCACACCAGTCATCGCTTCTGGGGGCAGGTGCCCTTTCGGAACACACACACACTCACAAAAACTCCGCCACAAGGCACTATAGAACGAGATATGCTCGGAAAGCATACAGGAGATAGACATAGAGACACACAGTCTGATGACAGACGACTGTGACTACTCCCAGGGCCTTCGCACACATCTAGCATGTTCAGCACACCAGACGTGTGGACCCTTCCCCGCACCAAAACCACCCACACAGCTGTACACAGCCCACGGGTGAGACAAAACTCTCAGGCATCATCCTGCTTTGCTTTCTTGGCCTGGGGGCCCTCAGTCTTCGGAAACTTCTGCCTGAACTCTGCCCTTGCTTTGATAGATGCCTTGGAGCCCTCCTCTTTGCACTTTGCCAAGTCCAAGCCTCTGGCAGCTGCTTGATCTCGAGCCTGATGATATGCACGACTGGCGAAACGATTCAATCTTTCCGACCAGGTGAGCTCACTTTCCGGTCGGCCCATCCGCCCGTTCTTCTTCCTCACCGGCAGCTCCTTGCCCTCAGCCGCCTCGGCTGCTGGGGCTTCTGAAACCCCATCCTCAGGAGCTCCCTCCCGTTCGTCGTCCTCTTCCTCCTTCTTGTCCTTCTCCTCGCTCTTTGGCAAGTTCACAGCCGGCTTTGCAAGTTTGGTCTTCGGCTTCGGCTTTGCAGCTGCTGCTTTCTTGGGGGCCGCTTTGGATTGTGCTTTAGCATTGGGCTGCTTCTTGTTCTTGCTTTTCGGCTTCGGAGGCGGCTTCTCCAAGTTGACTTTGTGATCCTTGAGGCCATTCACCACTTCCATGTCTTCGGGGCCAATGTTCTTGATTGACAAGAGGCCCTTCAAGAAGAGCTTGGGCGACCCGTCGGCGAGCTTCGCAGTCTGAGGCTTCTGCTGCTTCTGTGGAGTCTTCACCTCTTCCACCCCACAGCAGGCACCCTGCGACCCGTCCCAATCCTCCTTCCCAAGCACACTCTGGAACACAGCTGCAGGCTCCACCTGCTGAAACTGCTGGAGCTCGGAACAAAGACCCTGCGACTCTGCCAGCTTCTTCGCACCCGGAGTGATCACCTCTTCCACTTCCAAAGAGCTGGTGCTCACACCCTGTGGCACCAGAGCCAAGGACTGGGAGCCTGAGCCTCGTTCAACGGCCTCCTCTGCAACTGCCTCTGCCGACACACCCGTCAACAAAGACAGCACATCCTCGATGGCTCGCTGCTGGCTCGAGTCGGCCTTCCTGAAGAGCCTGGCCTTCGCCAGATCATTCTTCAAAGAACGACAGTGACTGAGAGCCATCCGAATCGTATCGTCGCAAAAGTCCAGAAAGTCCGGGAGGCTTCGCTTCTCCGACTTCTGCAAGCCGATGGAGTTGTGGACTGACTCGAGTGCCATCTTATGCTTCTTTGCAGGCAAAACTCCGTTCGGAGCGATTGCGGCATATTTGCAAAGCAGCGGGCTCAACTTTGCCAAGTGTGCCGCATTGGGAGCAGACTTCCAGGTCAAGCCGGGAGGAAGCTTGAGGTACTCGCCAAAGTTCAACGACTTCTTCGAGTCGGTGCAGGCGGAGTGGAAGTCTTTCAGGCAAGCTTCCAAGTCGGACACACCCAAAGCTGGGTCTGCAACCAAGCGAAAACGAGGCGAGGCCATTCTCAAAGCCAAGGGCTTACTCACACTACCAGAAGCCTCAAAAGGAGGCCCTTTACATAGACTGTACAGCAAAACCTACAAAAGACTGCAGCCACAAACAGGGACACACCGAGCACCCGCTTTGTCTCTCTCCTCCCTCACACAGACACACACAAACAGACCCTCTCACGAGCAGTGCACTGTGTGCAAATTCTGACTGTGTCTGCCTGCAAAACAGAGACGGCGAGCCTGCAAGAGGTCGGTCACCTTGTGGTTTGTCCAGACCTCTCTCTTAACCCTCACCGGTATATCTCGCCCTCTCCACAGGTACAAGTCCTCAAAGGTAGAGCATCTCTCCTTGGTACACACACACACATATATATATATATACATGTGTATATATATATATATATATATATAAATATAATGTAATCGCAAAAGCAACAAAAAGCACACTCAAAATGGAATGTATATATTGTTATATATATCATGCATTCACATGATATATATATATATATATATATATATACACATATATGTGTGTGTATATGTATATGTGTGTATATATATATATGTGTATGTATGTATATATATATATATATATATGTATATGTATATGTATATGTATATGTATATGTATATGTATATATGTATATATGTATATATGTATATATGTATATATGTATATATGTATGTATATGTATGTATATGTATGTATATGTATGTATATGTATGTATATGTATGTATATGTATGTATATGTATGTATATGTATGTGTATATGTATATGTATATGTATATGTATATGTACATGTATATGTATATGCATATATGTATGTATATATGTATGTACATATGTATGTATATGTATGTGTGTGTGTCATGACAAAACAAAATCTTTATTCGCTGTGCTGATGTTCAAAGAAAGAGAAAGATGTAGCTAGAAACCTCGTCTGTTTCCTTCCTTGAAAAAACAAGCTCCTCCAAAAACAAAGCAGTGGAAGTTTCAACCCCTGGCCGAGGAAGTTTGATGGAAGTTTCGACCGCCTGCTCTTTAACTATTTCGGCAGATCCTGCCGAATTCGGCAACCAGTTTACCCCCAAAATAGTTTATTCCAGGTTGCAAGATCTAACTATTTTTAGATAACTGTTGTGTCTGAAAATCTATAGATTTGGCGCATCCTTGGTCATCGAATTAGAGAAAAATATCTATTGAAAACATTTAGAGAAACGCCTTAACTAATTCATTGAATTCTATAGAATTACATGAATTCGAGATTCTCCCCGTTTCTATCTAACCGGGTCTATTGGGTAAGGTACCATACGATTGTGATCTAGTTTTTTTTGAGAAGTACCATAATGGTGATCTATGCTAAATTTGGGTAATTACTTATAGTGAGCTGGGTTCTATTTCATATAGGTACCATGATAGGGAAAGCTTATTGTGCAACGTTAAACAGTGTTATGGTAGCTTAGTAAGTTAAGCTCAAGGTACAGGGAACTAAGCTAAATAGCTACTATAATGAAGAGCCCCAACTATGTATGATAGGCCCTAAACCCTATACCCTAATACCCCAAAGATCCCCATAATTCTGATAGCTTGAGCTAATCCAGCAGGCGACGGCGGCGAAGGCGGCGACGGTGGCGAATCCCAAGGCTCGGAAGGGGTTTGAGTTTGGAGGTTTGGGGCTTCCAAGCAAAAAGCTCAGCAGCTTGCGATAGCCCTCCACGTAGATAGATACGTGTTGCGCCACTTGCCCCTTTCGGCGAAGCGGCTTTGTTGGCCAAATAAGACTGAGCAGCACCGGATTCCTAAGACTCTCTAATCATGTCTTCAGGCGTTGTAATCTAGGTCGTCTCATGCGACACTCGACTGGAACCCTGCATCAGGGGGAACTCCTATAGATGAAAACCCTCAGCAACCATTATCATTGTCCTCTCGAATCTCCATTCAATGCTCGACTGTTGTCCTGTTGGCCCGCATGTTGCTCAATGCGCCCAGAACTTGTAGCGTCTGAGATTGTCTTGTCGCCCTCAGGGAACGCTTCAAGAGCTCATCATGACTCTGGCCTCAATCCGGGTGGTTGTCAAAATTAGGCCCCTTTTTGGGTACCCGAATAGGTGCCGTATTATGATAGGGACCCAAAAAGGGACCCTAATTTTGAAAACCACCCATCTACGTTTGTGGTTTCAGGGTTCTGGCAGACTGCGCGAGTCAAGACTTCCTCACCGTTTCAACAAGCGGGAGTTTCCGAAAAATGGGGGGCACCTGGCCTTGGGGTCCTTATAAGGATCCTACTGTCCCCTATTTTCAGAAACTCCCAAGTTGCGGGCCCGCGGGCCCCTACAAGGCAACCCCTGCCCCCCACATTGGCCCCAAGCTCGAGATGCTACGTCGAAATCGCGCTGAAAATTGGGCAGTGCTCGGCCGGTACCCAACAAAAGCCAAGTTAAGAAACCCGTGGGCCTCATAAGGGCTACTATAAGGGCCACTGTAAGGGATCTATAAGGATACTATAATAATGTAGTCCATGGTAAAAGTTAGGTTGTTTTAGGCCTAGGCAGGCCTTCGGGCTTTTTGCCCTTATGGGGAAGTAAGGGGATCTTGCGATGCTTAACTCAGGAAGAAGACGAAAAGGCAGAATGCAGATGCATCCCGGCGGCATGAGTCCAGGTTCACTTCCAGAGGGTTTAGGGTTTCGGGATTTAGGGTTTCAGGGTTTAGGGTTTAGGGTTCAGGGGACTCCGATAGACCGTAATTCCGGCTATGTCTTGTCTATACCAACTCCAAAAAACCTCATGAACATCCTTATAATTGCAAATTCTTGGTCCTAGACTCTTCTTGGCATCCGCTGCGTTGCTAGCATCAACCCTGAACACAAATCAACCCCTAAACCCTTTACTCCTTAACCCCTAGACCCCTTCACTCCCAAACCTCTAAACCCCTAACCCCTACACCCCTAAACCCTTAACCCCTAGACGCACCCTAAACCCTTAGCCCCTAGACCCCAAGCCCTAAACAACCCCCCAGACCCAAACCCTGAACCCCTAAACCCCTAAACACTAAACCCTTCACGCTAAGCCCCTTAACCCCCTAATTAAACGCTAAACCCCTGGACCCCAAACCCTAAACCCCTTGACTCTAACAGGACTTCAGCTACACGCCGCTCCCGGAAGATGGCCCTGGACCCTTCTTCGTGCGCCTGCGCATTGGGAGCTTCGTGGTGGGAGGCGCGTACATTGTAGAACAACTTGACATGAACACGGACAAGAGACCAGCAAGAGACGACTCACGTACCCCAGGAATCCAGCCAGGTCGTCGTAAGCCGCATTTTTGTTACGCCCGATGTCGCAATCTCTATAACTCAATGACTGATGCTGCGAATCATGATGCTAGCCTGATGATGGGCATGATAGTGACTGCGACCAGCATGATGATGAGGAGGATGATGAGAATGGTGACTCTGACTATGGCAATGATGATGATGATGTTGGTGATGATGATGATGATGATGATGATGGTGATGGTGATGGTGAGGGTGGTGCTGATGGTCATGATGACGATGATGATGATGATGATGACGATGGTGATGATGTCGATGATGCCGGCGATCACGATGATGACGGCGATGCTGCTGGTGGTTGTGGTGGTGGTTGGGTGGTGGTGGCGGTGGCGGTGGCGGTCGTGGTGGTGATGATGCCTGCGATGATCATGAGACGGTGATGTTTATCCCATCGACAATGTTGATGAAGAATAAATAATCTGATGTCGCTGGTTACAACGAAAGGGAGCACTGCTTTGCTCGGAAGGTGTTGTAGAGCAACACGCATCTTGAGGTGTGGATTCCCTCACTCGCAGCTTCCCCCACTCCTTGGTGAGTGTTGCTCAAACTTTGTTGGCGAGATGCCCGGGGAGCCTCCAAAGTAAAGACGCTCCGAGAGGCGCAGCGGCACGGATTTTTGACAGCAAGCCCTTTCAGAGCAAGACGAAGAGAGCCATCAAGGACATCCAAGTTTGGAGCTCATGGTCGTAGGATGTTCGAGTAGATTCAGATCGAGTCTTCTTGGAAAGTCCGCTTGTAGAACAAGCTCCTTGAAGTAACATTCCAGCAGAGAAGTGGTTCTATTGCCGGCAAGAGCAGACATGACAATCACCCTCAACACCCAAACCCCTAAACCCCTAACCCCTACATCCCTAAACTCCTAAGCCCTAAACTTTAAACCCTAAAGCCTTAAGCCTAAACCCATGTCCATCGCGCGCAAGAGCAAGGGATATCAACAATCCTTTCAAGGCGGTGTTAGGGGAAAGTTGTGATGGGTAAAACAACTTGATACTTAGATAGTGAACGGGGAGCTTTAAACTTTATTGCCTCATATATTAGCTCTATCTTAGAAAGTTATTGTTATTTTGGTTTTTCAACTGCCAAAGACAGGCATTGTGGTTTTTCAACTGTCAAAGATAGGCATTGATGATGATGGTGAGTGGTCCTAGTAGCCGTGCAGTAGCAGAAGCAGCGGCAGCGTCCGTCTTGGCTGTAGCCGTAGCCGTAGCCGCAGCAGCAGTAGCAGCGGCAGCGGCAGGAGCAGTAGCAGGAGCAGCCGCAGCAAGAGCGGACAAACTGCCGTGCACAACAACGGTTCAAAGTGGACGACACGGCCAGCCAGCAACACAGAAGTAGCTACAGCAACAGACGAATATGCATATGCCATAGCAGAGCATCATGCGAGAAGGTATTGAAAATGGAGCTAGCATGCCAACGGGCACATGTGTTGCAGCATCCCCCAGAAGCCTTCGACCTGCAGACGTAGATGCCATAGATAGAAACCTTCAGCCTGCAGGCTCCGTAGAACAACAAGCCCGACACCATGAATGCAGCTCAGCGATTTCGAAACCTTTGAGGTTCCAGCTCTGGAAAAGCCGGCAGCATACAGCCTGAACCTGTTCGAAAAGCCTGCAGCAACAACCACATCGAAGCCGATTCCAAGACTTTCGTGGTAGAATTTTGAGCCACTCTCAAAGCCGACGAGCTCGGAGGAGGCTGAGGAAGATGTGGCCATGCAGGAGCGGTGGTGCATGTGTCTTGAGTTTGCAGGTTTTCTGGGCTTGTTTGGGGCTTGCATGCGATCTTGGCCATGGCCACGTGTTGGATGGTGATCTTGTCTGGCACTGTTTTTCTCAGTTTGGATTCGGGTGTTGTAGAGTTTTGGAATGGTTTTTGTAAAGGCTTCAAGAGGCTTGTGTCGCATGTTTGCATGGTGTTGTTACACCTTTTGCTAGCGAAGCCTTCTGGGGGAGCAAACACACGAGTGGGTTCAGGGCTTCACGGATCCTCAAGACCCTACCCATGTCGTATGAAACGCTTGAAATTACCATCGTCTACAGCTTTTTGTCCCAAACGCCTAAGTCCTAAGGCGTACAGGCCAAACTCAGACTTTATCGGAAACGGAGGTCCTAAATCCACAAATAAAAGCAAACGACTTTTTGAAAACCCTGTACTATAAGACCCTTAGGCAACCCCTTCTCCCCAAAGCTTGCAGAACAGGCCCTGGCTGATCTGTACGCGAAGGAGGTGGGAGGGATCTCCTCACCTCTTTCCTTTACCCCTGAATAACCTACCTTTTTAAGGACTTATATGGAAATCATAATGAGGAACCCTAAAAAGGTAGGTTATTCAGGGTTAAGGTTGGGTTTAGCGTGGAGGTCACTTGGATTTCGAGCGATAGGTGTTCAGGCTCAGAGCTCATTGGGGGGCTCTAGGTTTCGAGTTGGTAGGGTTCAGAGTTGGGGGTTGGAGCTGATCGCGCTAAGGGCTTAGGCTTGAACGGCTTCGAGTTGACATTTTCCATTGTCTAGGCGAAGAGATTAGAGTCCATTCGGTTCTGGGTGTGGGCTTTGCGTTACGGGCTCACCCTTCTGCCACATGCTCGATCATTCTCCGTCTGTTCTGTGTTTTGCATAGGCATAGACGTATACAAAAAGCATGAAGTCATACATCTACACATACGTACATATACAGATAGGGTTTAGGACACTCAGCCCTACGCCGTGGATCGCGCCATTGAGTGTCAGGTCAACTTGCCGCAACAGCCTCCCACGGCGAGGCCGGAGTTTCAGGGCGGATTGGAGGAAGTGCAGTAGCAGCAGCAGCAGCAGCAGCAGCAGCAGCAGCAGAGCCTCAACAATCAGGCATAGATCGGCACCGTATTCATATAAAACAAGACTGTAGGGTTACAGTAGCTGGTTCTCTTCATTGGGACACCGTGTGCGGCCTTAATTATGGCAATGACGTTCTCCGAAAAGACCACAAAGAAAGGAACCTCAATTAAGAGAAGCACGGACGAGGCAGTCAGCAAAGGGACGGATACACACATGGTACATATTGCATGTACTACTCGCATTGCACCCATCTCTGTGAACTCAAACTTATACAGTAGACATGAACAAGTCGTGCATTCAAAGCGACAATCCGGCAAGCAATCCGAACGAGTCTAGCACACCTACATGTATGTAAGGATATTGACTTGTGGTTAGGCAAGTTGAATTTATTCCGCTGTTCATGTTCAGATGTTTCTTCAGTTGCTTCTATTGTAGTACAGACCCGCATGGCAGCCACCTGCCTTGTAGCCCTACACCTACACCCTGACCCCGAGTCGCCAGTCTGAGGGCCACAAGTTGAGAGCCCGAGTCCTGAGCCCTAAACCCTAAATCCTAAACCCCAAACCTTAAATCCTGAAGCTCAAAGCCTAAATCCTAAACCTCAAACCCTAAATCCTAAACCCAAAATCTATAGCGTCGACCCTAAACCCGAAGTTGAGAGCCTCAAAAGCCAGAGCCAAGACAGGACGCAGACGCCAGCCGAGGCGCTCTGCGAGACTCTTTAAGCATGCGGGGTTTTGGGGGTTTTGGTTTCGGGTTTATAAGTTTAGGGTTAGGGCTTAGGATTCGGGGATGGGGTTGGGGCTTAATGAGGGCTTATTGCGAGGTTTAAACGCTTAATTACTCAGGCTCAGACGCTCGTGTCGCTAGAGGTGCAACCCGTTTTCCTCACTGCCTTTCAAGCCAGAGCCGCCTTCGTCACTACGGTTGATGATATAAATCTTGCATTACCTTGAGGACCCTAAACTATGGGAATTATGGTATCTTCCTTGTTATGGGTAATGCAGGATCTATATATATATATATATATATATCATCAACCGTAGTTCCGATTGTGGACTAGGCAACGTAGGGGCCTTAACAGTTACAATAGGGGCTTGGGGGTTCCTTGCTATATACAATTATAGTTAGTGTAGTATACCCATTGCACAGCCCACTTCGAATTATTTAGACCCCGACATCCGTAAATACCTTGTAGATCCCTTATAGTAGCCCTTACAGACCGCTTTAAAGGAACCCTATTCTAATTATTAAGGCTCTTTACGATAGGCTTCTGCTTTGCTTGTGTTGATTTCTGGATAGGCCTTAGGCCAATGTCTCAGGGTTGGGTTGATCCCTTGAAAGTTATATAAGACTAGTGCCCCACACCCTTTGGGGTTTTTCCGGATTTTAGAGGTTTAGGGTTTATATAGTTCTTTACACTGCCAAGAAGTGTTGCTTAGTTGTGCCGGCCAGGGTTGATGCTACTTCACTTGCAGCATGTTCTCCAATGCCTGACAAACTCCGAACCCTTCCTGCGTTGTTTTCAGGGCAGTTTGGGGGAAAGCGCACTCCAGAACTTTAAGCCATAAGGCTCGAAGCTCTAAGCTCCGAAAGTGTAAGACAGCAAGCAGTCAAGGAGCACTTTGTTCTACTCGGGGCAAAGTAGTGCAGGCGCGGACCCCGTGAAGACATACTGTGAGCATCTTACATGCCGATTATAGCAAGTATAGCTTATAGTTACCCCGATTGACAACCTGATGTAAGGAATCCGAAATCGGTTAGGCCCAAACCCCAGACCCCAAGCCCCACACATCCGCAAACCCTGAACTCCTAAACCCGAAACCCCGAAACTCTGAAAGTTATGCCCTCCACCCTGACACAGGCGACTGGGACACGGGGAGCTGGAGATCTGGCGAAGAGTGTGGAGGTTGAGGAGGCGGGTTGAAAGTTCACGGGTTTAGGGTTTAGGGATTTTAGGAGTTGGGATGTCCATGGTGTAGGGTTTCGGGTCTAGGGGGGCGTATAGGGTTTAGGGCTTCGGGTTCGACTTGTGGTGTCTAGTTTGGGCTTGGGTTAGGGGTTGATTAAGGGTTTAGTCGATGACTGTACTATCACAACAGCAGCTGCAACAACAACAACAACACCAGAACAGCAACCTTAAGACAACGACACGAGAACGACAACGAGGAAGATAACAATAGCAGCAGCAGCAGCAGCAGCAGCAGCGGCAACAACAAGAACATCAGCAACAGCAGCAACAGCAGCAGCAGGAGCCGTTGAGTTAGTTTGCTCTGCACTCGTCTCAATGTTGTCGCTGATGCTACCGCACAATACTTGCAGCACATCCGTTGTTGATTCAAGGCTTTGAGGACTTCAAGTTCTAAGCAATAACCGTTAGGGTTTAGGTTTGAGTTTTAGGGGTTTAGGGTTTAGGGGTTAGGGGTTTAGGGCTTAGGATCCACGAGACTCAGCCGATGAGTCCAGGCCGTGTACACGGCCGTTTTCCTGGATAGCGCGAGCCAACAGGCTTTGATGGACTTTGGCGCGACTTGGTGTTGAAACCTAAGCCGAGTTGCTAAGTGGCATTTTTGGCAAACTTGTGAATTTCCCGTTATGGTTCCTACAGAAGTACCCGTTCATTAACATGCTTAAGGGCCCCAAAGCTACAATGCAGATTGTCCGCATATAGTTTGTGTTCTTTGTTCCACATATTCTTGTATGTACATATACATGTGTACATATATATATATATATATATATATATATGTGCTATACATGTATATATTCTTGTTCTTTTTCAGTAAATTACATATATGTATATATATACACATATATTTATATAGATACTTTATAGCTACTTCGGCCCGAAGGTTCCCGCGCCATTTTGCTAGGGAGGTGAGGTCTCAGGGACTGGGGTTGAGGTAGCCGAGGGGAGAGGAAGCCCTCGTTTTGTAAAAGGGTAGTGAAGTGTAGTGAACCCTGACCAGACATCTCGAGGTTCGGGGTTTAGGGTGTAGGGTTCAGGGTTTAAGGCCTCATAAACGAACAAGGTGTTCGGAGGCCGAAGTACATGCTTCCCCCGAATCAAAGATCCAGGGTGTAAAACATAGCCAATTTTAATTTTCGTGGATGGGCACAGGTTGATGACAGGATGCAGAACAATCCTTCGACGAGGGTGGTTCTTGCGCTTGTGTTATCCACGGGTGGGGCTTGGCACCGTCAATACAGTGGTTAAGTAATGTCCGGCTCAGGGCACTTGTCGCTCGTTCTCTTCCTATGGGATTTCACATGCAATCCGAATTTTGCATCGTTACCAGAGTCGGGTCGTAGCGAGTTATGTTGCGCGCTTTGTGATCATCCAAGCTGCACCGCCACCACTCCCGCAGAAGTTCTTGATCAAGAAGCAGTCCTTCAAGCTCCGTAGATGGAGCACCCTCTTGATATTGCACAGTGTTCCTACCCGAAACAATCCTAACAACCCGACCCAACCCGAAACCAGGCTTTGGGATACCACCGACTGAGGCGAAATCCGTCCCGGGAGGAATTCCATCGGAGTGGACACAGTTCTGCGATCACATGACGCATCTGGGCTGCCACCCTAAACCCTAAACCCAAAAGAACTTGGTTGTCTGATAAAGACTTCTAGCCTAGACCCCTGCCCGCCTCGCGCCATCACCCTCTACTCTGAACCCAAAGGGCCCATAGTGTTACCGGACTGCTTGGGACAATAATAGTGATACTAACTGCTAAACGAATGATAGGACTAATCCTAGCAATGATACCAATAATCATGAGAAGGGCCTAACCAAGAGAAGCCACAGCACAGGGACCCGGGCTGGTTTTCTTGAGCGGCAAGGCTCAAAGCTCCGGAAAAGAACACGTAAACACGATCCCCCTTGAATCCTGAATTAGCCCTATGGTGCCAAGGATCTGCCTCGGCTCTTTGTCCAATCCGAAAACACCTGAAGACAAGGACGGGCTAGTTGCCGAAGCCTTGGCTGCAAGGAGAGCGGGGTGGGAGAGGGTTTAGGGTTTCGGGGTTTAGGGTTTACGGTTACGGTGTTTAGGGTTTCGGGGTTTAGGGATTACGGCTTTGGGGTTCAGGCTTTGAGGGGTTTGCGTTTTGGGAACGCGGGCGACGAGGTCCTTGGGATTGAGGGTTAGGGCTGTAAGCTAGGGTTAAGGCCGGGTTAGGGCCTGTAGTGGGTGGGATTGGGCAAAAACTCTATTCTAATTATGAAGGCCCCCTACATCAGGCTTGGTATTGTTAGGTCAAAAGAACGCCGAGTTCAGACGAGTGACGAGAGGCCGCCCGATGGACTCTGACTGATGGGATCCGACTCGAAACGTGCGCGTGGAACCCAATACCTGTGAACTTAATTAAACTCTAACCCCGAATTTAATTATATACTATAGGGACATAAATAACTCCCAGTACGATTTTTGGGGCTCCTTATTATAATAGTGGTATAAGAAACACGAGGACCAAAACCCTGTTCAAGCAATGAAAGCCCCTTCAGCAGACCCGAAACTTAGGCACGGAACCCTTAATCCGGAGCCTCGGCCTTTCATCCGAACATCCCAAGCTGCCCTAAATACCCACTGCCACGTTTCGGGGCCGGATTTCTGGATGATTCGACATGAAGACTGAAATTGAACATCAGTTGCTTTAAAAAAGTGGTTTATGGGTTGATTTAGGGTTTGAAATGGCTGAGGTTAAAAACGAGTTGACGGCTCTGCACTTCGGATTCTAGAGGTTCAGACATAGGTTTCGGGGGTTGAGTGCCTGGTGCATTTATGCATTGCAGACTCGGGTTGCTGCGATATGAATGGCTACCTTAACCCTGAAGAACCTACCTTTTTAGGGTTCCTTATTATGATTTCTTTATATAAGTCCGTAAAAATGTAGGTTCTTCGGGGTCTAAGGTAGGTATCACATGAATGCAAACCCTGGCAAGACGACAAACCCCAGCCGAATAGATACAGAAGCATAACAGTTGGCATAACAGTTGCCAACACTATTTTGAATATTCCTCAGGGATCCTCATTATTAAATATTCCCTAGGGTTCCTCATTATTACATTTAGATGGAGTACAATATCCCCAAAACCCCCCAAAACTCTATTCAAGCTATCCTTGCCAAAGCCCCCGGTCTGAGACTGATTCTTAAAGCCAATCCCGAAGCATTACTCTTTAAGAAGTCCGCTATACCTACAGAACCCTTATTGGAAACCATTGCGGGAACCCTATCCCCTCCTGACAAGAATCAGAACAACAGCAAACGAATTTTTTAGCTGAGCTGAACGAACAAAGACATTGAACATGCTCATGCTCCTTTGTCGCTAAGGAGACCGTGCAGAAAGATCTCGATGAGTATGAGGAGGGACAGGACTGCCAGCCCGAGGAAACAGGAGGGTTTACAGGGTTTGGGGGTCTTAGGGCGCGTGGATCGACTCTGGCACTCCCCTTCGGCGGCTAAACTATGGTATACCGAAACCGGCCGATCGAATTAATTAGTCTCCTCGGCCAATCTTCTTCGGGAATAAGGTTCTGCGAGTATCTATCTGCTGACCTTTTTCAGAGGTGCCCAGGTTCGGCCTCATGCAATGGAGCTTGGAATCCTGAGTTGCACGGTGGATCGCCCCGATTAGGGCGAGCGAGGAGCCATGAAGATGCATAGCACTTATAACCTTATATCCCTGGAGCCGCAAGACGCTGAAATCCTCAGGGAAGCTTAAGATGGACGAAGGAGTTCGAACTACAAGTGGTGTCACTGGGACGCGACGAGAGTGTGCTGGCTGTTGGAGTGGTTGGCTGCAGCTCCTGCAACAGATACCCGCACATTACCGTGGCTCGGAAATCAGAGCTTGGGGCATTCGGGTTTAGGGTTTAGCGGTTTAGGGTTTAGGGTTTAGGGGTTTAGGGTTGAGGGTGAGCGATCGGACATGGGGTTCACTGTTTTAAGGCTTGTCTCAAGGCTGTCATGGCTTTGACAGGCTGCAGAGGGCGTCAGGATGGATTGCACGAACTGGCTGTTGCTTGCAGGTGAAAGCGTCTGCTCCACAATACCCTTTTACTATCTTTTCTCGGTTTTAGGGAAAGTTTAGGATTTAGGGTTGACTGTTAGAGCCCTTACCGGAGCTCTTAAACCCAACTCTGTACTTGGGGTCCTCTCCGAAACCCCAAGGCCCTAAACCCTAACCCCTAAACCCTGAACCCTAAACCGCAACTGAGGTGGCCACGGCACCGGGAAGCAAGCCAAGTCAAAGTATCTTGGCCGGTCGACCTCTTGAGCCAAACAGGCCCAGGTGCTCGTACAGTAATACAGTGGCCTTAGTGATGAGACTGGGTCTTTGGGGGTAGTGTTCAGGGTTTAGCTCTTTAGGGTTTAGGGGTTTAAGGTCTGAGTCTAGGGTATGGGTACGTCATACTAGATCTATGTAGTATATAAGAAATACAAGGTATGAGAGTGTCCATGTAACTATATTCATGACTGGATTTGAGTTTTGGGGTATGTGCTACCAGAGCTAGATACGGACTACAGAGAAAATTGTTCGAGCGTCTTCCGACCTCTACATGACAGCATACAATATACCTTGGCCCTAAAGGGCCTCTATGGGAACCCCTTACTGGCCACACTTTAGGGTTTAGGGTTTAGGGTTTCGCAGCATATACTAGATTATATTATGGGTACACGGGCCCTTGGCAGTTGTATATAGATAGAGGGCGACGGAGGGCTCATGCGATTTGGGTCTGCTGTGCACGGATGAAAGCCTTACTTGTCGGATGCGGAGACCAGCAAGTAGAAGTATAGTCACCTGATGTATAACCCTAGTTACTCAGTCCCATAGTCCTGTAAGTGGCTTCAATTAGTGAAGATTTGCGGTAGAAGGCTCAGGGATGAAAGTTTTAGGCGTGACTTTAACTGGCCTGCCTCTTTGGGGTTCCTTACTATGGTTTCCTTATGTGAGTCCTTACAAGGATAGGCTATTCGGGGTTAAGGTAGGGCTAATGCTTCAAGATGCAGGGTTTAACGGCGGTTGCGGGCTTTGGCCGGTATTTCTGCTACAAGTCAGTCGCCTGCAGGCTCAAAGGGCATAGCTACTTGGAGGATCCGGGGACTTAGTAAGTGGGGTTATAAGTCCCCTAATTGAAGTTATAAGTATAGTTACCTTATTTCTATAACCCTAGTTACTAAATCCTATGATCCTTTAAGTACCCTCGCAACTTTGGATCCCCTCATATACTAAGCCCATAACTTGGGCTTGCGATTTCGGGTTCGCATCAGGTCTACTTGGAGTCTTGGAGGTTGGATATGGGCATGTCGTTAGGGCATCTGAGAGTAAGATCTTCAGTGACAAGAACCTGGGGCTCGGGCTTCGAGTTGCTGTGCGGTTCATCTGCTGTTAAAGAGTGCCATGATTCAAAGCTTTGCTAAACCGGAAAAGCTTCCAATCGAGCCCTAAGAGCCTGAGAGCTTATTACTATCCCCTAGCTGCCCGAAGCCCTACCCTAAACCCTAAACCCCTAACCTTTCGGCCCACTTCATCAGGCAACGACCTGAGGGACTGGACGCCGACTCTTGGCTTTCAACTTCCCAGAGCGTCCAAGTACCCAAATAGTAGGGTTTTAGGTCCCAAAATCCATACTCTGAATGGTTTTTGGACCATGAAACCCTCGTATTTGAGCACTTGGACCCTAGGGCTTATGGCAAGCTCCCAGAAGTTGCTTTGGGTTTATGGGGCTAGGGGTTTAGGGCTTCGGGTCCAAGTACCTGAAAGGTTTACTGTTTAGGGACTTCCCATCATGAAAGGTCCCGTGTTACAATAAGAAACTTGTAGGGTTCTATAAAGGGTTACTGCAATAGCTTACCTGTGAGGTTCAGGCTCACTTGATCCCGAAACTTCTAAACCCTAAGCCCTAGAACATGCAACCCGAAACTCTAAACCCCGAAACCCTGGGTTCATGGACGAGTATGACTTCGTTGGCCGATCACTCAGGTTCTGCAAAGGAATCTTCAGGTTTTTTAGGGTTAAGAATTCAGGGTTTAGGGTTAAGGGTTTAGGGTTTAGGGGTTTAGGGGTTTAGGGTTCAGGGTTTAGGGTTAAGGGTTTAGGGTTTAGGGTTCAGGGTTTAGGGTTAAGAGTTTAAGGTTTAGGGCCTTCAGGGTGTAGGGCTCAGCATTCAGGGTTTGGGGTTTTGGTTTGAGGGTTTACGTGGCCCTCTAAACAACTTAGACACCCTGACTCAATTCTCAGCTCGCACCTTGAAAGCCGTGCTAAGAGCTTCCTGGACTTCCCGTTTATGTTTCCTGTACAAACTATCATAAGATGCCTATATAGTACTTGGAACTCTAGGTCCAGCGCTTGAAATTTCCCGGCAGGTTGTCTCCAGAAGAGCAGTTCACTTTGAAGGGAGTTTTGCAGCAGCTCCTCGACTGGCAGGATATTGTGGGAATGTGGGTGGTTGTCAAAAATTGTGGCCCCTGTTTGGGTACCCTAAATGATAGGTGCCGCATTATAATGAGGACCCAAGAAGGGACCCTAATTTTGACAACCGCCCACCTGACTAAGAACCACTGGCACTTAACCCAATTGGGAATCATATAAAGAACCCTAATAAAGGCCCAGGGTTTCATAATTAGGTTCCTATGTTATGCCAGACAGGCAGCGAGAACCCCAGATTTCGTGCTTCAGAACTTCGAGATTCAATTATTTTGCCTATGAAGTTCCGAGGTATTTTGGGGCTTTGGGCTTTGAGATGCCCGTTGTAGCAGAGCTGCTGAGTGTTAACCACTCATCGATTTGCAGTGACAGGTCTGAAAGCCTGTCAGTTTAAATCCAAGATTCTCAACTTGTGCTTCAGGATTCTGCGTAGGATATTGGGACTTTTTAGTTTAGCTCAGGGTTTGGGCATTGGTTTTCCTTGGGGTAAACTCTTGCCAGGTGTTCAACGGGGTTCGGGGCTCAGTGACACGTGCATGCCTACGTGAGAGAGTCTCCAGTACCTGTATGCCACAAATCCATTCCCCCGTCCCTCCCCTTCTCCCGAAACCCTATAAGATGCAGATCCCTCAAAACGCTGCCCGGAAAACCTATTGAAGCATAGGTTTCCGCGCGTGCTCGTCTCATGATCAGTGTTCATAGGCCTGAGACCCGCCTTAAGTTTCAAGGGTTACCTACAAACCCACCACCTGCCATCTAGGTAGCAGGAAGGAATAATTGAATAATTATAGGGATGCCGAAAAAAGCCTGGATAAGTCTGGTTTTGAACACAAACGAGAGATTGGGTGCCCACTTCCTTTGACAGCAGCAAAGCTAGCTGAAGTCCTCAAAGTGTGGTGGAGTTTGCGGATTTTGCCACCTTCATTCTGTCGCTCCTGCACTCCCCTGTGAGTAGCCCAGCAACCCTAAGGGTCTATGTACCCATGTGGGAGTTTCCGAAATTGGGGGGGGGGGGGGGGTACTTATTGTGGGATCCTTATAATAAAGATCCATTTTTTTAGGGTGCTATATTAGGGTCCCCTGTTTTCGGAAACTCCCATATAGTAGATACTTTGCCCCTAAAGTACCTATATAGGGACTGCAATTAAAGCCAAAGTATATACTACATGGGCACATGGACCCTTATTGCAAGACCCTTTCCTTTAAATCTAAACTGGCCCAAAGCCCTCATGTAAGGGGCCTTAGTTAGTAGCTACCTCTAAGGTAGTATAATGGACCCCAAAACCCTTTTCGAATTATGAAGGCCCCTATATTATACCCCTGCATCCGAAGCCAAGGAAGTCCAAGCTGTCGACGGCCCAGAAACCCGAGGTGGGCACAGTTTCAGGTGGCATTTGGAGTACCATGCTTCAATTCGTTTTTGGGGGACCTGATACTTAAAGGGAGCCATTATGAAACAACAGTCTGTTCTTTTCTCTCCATGGCAACTTCCAAGCCCACCTAGGATGCCCAGTAGTACCCTTATTCCCTTTTTGTAGTCCTAGGTTCCTTATAAAGTTACCCAATACCAAAAAGAGAGGCCTTTTTATTCTTAGGTTACTGGGTATCCTAGCCACTCATTTGGAAGGCTCAAGGCGAGGCTTAGGTATACGGGTATTTCTCTAAATAAAGGCCACTTTTGGGGGTCCTGTTGTCACAAGGTGCCGAAATACATGTGGGACTGAAGAAGCTTACCCGAACTCTGAGAATTACCCTTATAGAAAACTTGTAGACTTCCTTATAGATCCCTTCAAGGAACCCTCAACCCTCAACCCTAAACCCAGAGATTGCAGTAGAAGCCAGAGAGTTGGAATATCATTATCGTTACCCCTTTAAGGTAAACTATAGGGGATCCTGCCATCAATCCATATTCCAACTTTCTGGAGTTCCCTTTATAGAAAAACCCTTTAAGGAACCCTCAACCCTAAACCCTTTCAGGAACCCTCAACCCTAAACCCAGAGATTATAGAAAAGACGCTGAAGGGTTTAGGGTGCAGGCTCTGGGACTTCAGGATGATCCTGCCGGCAATACCCTGATCGAAGTATTAGTAGCAATATCCCCTCATGACCACGACATAATATATATATATATATATATATACATACATATACACATGTGTACACATGTCTATATATATATATATATATATATATATGTATATGTATATATATATATAGATAGATAGATAGATAGATAGATAGATAGATAGATAGATAGATATACATATGTATATACATGTGTATATATTTATACATATATATATATACACATATTTTTTTGTTTATTTATTTATAACGGCTTAAACTTCTACTGTTATCTGTCCCAAAACCGCCAACACCCGATTCTAAACATCAAGGCCACGCTAAAGTAGTTGGGCCGTGAGACTTCGGGCTCAGTATAAGGGTATAAACAAATACCAAACCTACTTTGGGACTCCTTATCATACGGTTGATGATATAAATCCTGCATTACCCATAATAAGGAATATACCATCATTCCCATAGTTTAGGGTCCTTAAGGTAATGCAGGGTTTATATCATCAACAGTAGTTATAGCACCACATACATACCCCAAACCCAAATTTTAATTATGAAGGGCCCTGCAGTAAACTCAGGCTTCAAGCCGTCGGTGTGGATATGGTATTGATACTTATTCGTGCCCCGAGAGTAAAGCTTGAGGTTCTAAGTACTGGCATTGCATCTGGGCATGTTCTAGACGGATGTCGGCAGCACTTGACCACTTCAGGTTTTGGGTTTAGAGTTTAGGGTTGAGGGCTACGATTAGGAGTAGGGGTTCGTGTCTGGGTGTACAGGGTTTCTGTCCATGACCTTAAGTTTGGAGCAGGACGGTGTCTTGGAGCCTCTACCCCCACAGCCGACAGCGCCTGTGCAGCCGGCGCATTTGGACCTAAACCCTAAACCCTACTTGGAGGATCAGGGGACTTAGTAAGTGGGGTTATAAGTCCTCTAATTGAAGTTAAAAGTATAGCTACCATATTTATAACCCTAGTTACTAAGTCCCATGATCCTTTAAGTACCCTAAGCCCTTATAGATCCATTATAGAAACCTTTAAGGAACCCTTGTAGATCCCTTTAAGGAGCCCTTTAAGGAACCCTAGCTGCTACGTCCCATGATCCTTTAAGTAAGCAGAAGCCAGAGGCTTCCCGAAGCCCTACACCAAAAAGTGTCCGCTCCTTTCAGGGCCCCTTTAAGGGGATCTATAGGGATTCTATAAGGGTATAGGGTTTAGGGTTCAGGTTCCCGAAGACCCAAACAGGGATTCGGGTTCGTTTCCGCTTCTCTTCAGGCTTCAAAGCTTCCTGAGGTCAAACATCGGTGCACGTGAATGTTTGTGCTGTGGGTGAAAAAGAGCTTGTGGTTCTCGGTTTATGAAGTCGAGGGCTGTTGGCTGCTGCATGGAAATATTGGAGTTGAATGTACCCTAAACCCTAAACCCTAAACCCCTAAACCCTTAAACCCTAAACCCTATAAACCCTAAACCCCTAAACCCTTAAACCCTAAACCCTAAACCCTTAAACCCTTAAACCCTAAACCCTAAACCCTAAACCCTAGTGATGCTTTGAGAATCGAAGCGCTCAGGATCCAGAGTCTCTACATGAGGCCCCTAGACGCCAAAACCCTTAAAGCCGTACACGCAGAACCCTGTGAATACAGAACCCCGTTCCTTGGAGGCTATTTGCCTTTGGAGTTTCATCATCTGAGGAGTCGGTGGCTTAGCCCCGTTCTCCCTGACGAAGAGATCCCTGCGAGTAAACCCTGAAACCTGGAACCCTATAAACCCTAAACGCGAGCCATAACCCAGCATTTTGAATGCGAACCCAAGGTTTCTACAGGGAACCACATCCAGACAGCTCACAATGGAGTGTTTAGGGCTGATGGGTTCAGGATGATTCAGGGATCTAGTATAGTATATACATTTCAACAGTTGTAGTGGCTTAGGGTTGATGTGTTGGAAAGGATCTTCCTTGCGTCTGCCAGGTGGTTCTCGTCCGGCCGGATGGCAAGGACACTTTGGGCTAAAAAAATGTTTTGCTTCCGTTGAATGGTAAGGCTACAAATTCGGACAGTTTCAGGGTTGCTTATTTGCTAGACATAGTTGTGCTGCAAGCATGGGTAGTAGTGAAGTCGGAGAGAGACCAAGTTGATATGCATCACATTGATTCGGATCTTCTCCCGCTACTGGTGCACCACGGGGCCAATTGCCAAGAAGTGGCGACGTGGACCGAGGCTTGCATGATGTTGCAGGTTAAGGTTGAAGCCACAATCTCTCTCGATGCAGGGATTCTCGGGCAAGCTAGATGAGAGATTGTATGCTATGATGTGCCAAGCACGGAACCCTAAACCGCACCGGAGATGAGGAGAGGAGGATGCTTTTCTTGAAAGCGACGTTGATCGCTGAGCTCATCGAGCATCTCAGCATGAACCGCAGTTTCGTTTACGTAGTGGTTTGGCAGTGGGGATGTTAAAGAATTGCGCCCGTGCATTCGGGCTAGACTCCAGCGCCAAAACCTATGTCAGGTGCATTTGGTTTTGGTGCGAAGCTGATGCCCTGCTACCCTCAACCCTTCAAAAGTGCCTGGTGTAGGACTTGAATACAGATGGAAGATTGAGTCTTCATCAGTAGCAGACCCATTAGTTCCTGCATAAGTGATTGAAATTATCCGATTTCCTATACTACTCCCTTATAGGACCTGTATAGCTTCCTAGATTATGAGGGTTTCGGGTTGAAAGAGCCTCGGGTCCAGGGTTTATGGGGTTTAGGGCTTATAGGGTTAACAGGGTTTGTAGGGTTTGTAGGGTTTAGTGTTTAGGGTAAGTATCCTAGAGTTGTTTACTGAATCCTCATGGAAAGCCTATTCTACTTGTTAAGGCCCTTGTGACAGCAGCAATGCATGCAATCTGTCGTCCGAGTGTGAGTCACAGCCAACGGCTCATAGTGTTGATCAGCTTTTCGCCAGTTCTACCGTTGAGAGATTCCTTCCAGATGCTGCGAATCAGAATGATCTCTGGTGATGAACTGACAATACCTGTCGACGAGACACAAGACGTCAGGGGCTTGAAGCGCCACCTGAATCGACTGCGCGGGTTTCCTTTGGGATTCAGGCAGAGGTTCTTACTGCATGGCCATACTTTGGAAGATGCTGTCACGCTGGACACCCCAATGGATCTGGATCTCGTCCTGTTGCACTTCACTGAAGCTTCGAAAGAGCAGGTGGGCGAGTTGGTGGATGCTGCAATTTCTGGCTCTGTGGCCGATGTTCACCGCAGATTGCAGGTGCCCCAAGATCCGGACTTGAGTCGAGAAGACGGCTACACGGCTTTGATGGGAGCATCTGGTGCAGGTCATGATGAAGTCGTGGACTTATTGCTGGCAGCAGGAGCCGACACGGAGGTGAGAGGACCCGGCGGCTACACAGCCTTGATGAAGGCATCTGAAGCAGGTCACCTCCAGGTGGCGAGATTGCTGCTGGAGGTCGGCGCCGACAAGGATGCTGCAAGCGCAGCATTTGGTTACACAGCTTTGATGATGGCAGCCTCCGAAGGACATGCTGAAGTCGTAAGCCTGCTGTTGAGTGCTGGTGCTGACCAGAGGGTGGGAGACCGTTGGCATGGCAGCACAGCCTTGACATTGGCATCTTCCAACGGTAACGTTAATGTCGAAATCCTGAGCTCGCTGCTGGAGGCAGCCGGCAATGACACCGCAGACATCAGCCCAGAAGCTTTACTCGTAGCAGCTGCGGCAGGCCGTGTCGAAGTTGTGGGCTTGCTGCTGCAAGCCGGTGTGGCAGGCAACGTCGGAGAAGCTTTGCGCCAAGCAGCAGCACTAGGTCATGCCGAAGTCGTGAGATTCCTGCTGGAGGCCGCTGCTGGCAAGGATGCGGCAACGGACACTGCATCAGCAATACTTTCAGCATCCGAGGCAGGCCATGCCAATGTTGTCAGCTTGCTGCTGGAGGCCGGTGCCGACAAGGACGTAGCAGCGATCAACAGCGGTCAGACAAGTTTGATATTGGCATCTCTTGCCGGTCATGTCGACGTCGCGAGCTTGCTGCTAGAGGCAGAAGCCGACAAGGATGCGGCAGACTTCGCAGGCCATACAGCTTTGGTGTGGGCAGCCTTCCAAGGGCATGCTGAAGTTGTGCGCTTGCTGCTGGGTGCCGGCGCAGACAAGGATGTGGCAGACAGCAGCGGCTTCACAGCATTGATTTCAGCATCTCGAGCAGGTCATGCCAATGTTGTAAGCTTGCTGCTGGAGGCCGGTGCCGACAAGCATGTAGCAACCACCGGCGGTCAGACAGCTTTGATATCAGCATCTCTTGCCGGTCATGTTGAAGTCGTGAGCTTGCTGCTAGAGGCAGAAGCCGACAAGGATGCGGCAGACCTCGCAGGCTATACAGCTTTGATGTCGGCAGCCTTCCAAGGGCGTGCCGAAGTTGTGCGCTTGCTGCTGGGTGCCGGCGCAGACCAGGATGTGGCAGCAGCATCTCGACCAAGTAATGCCAATGTTGTAAGCTTGCTGCTGAATGCCGGTGCCGACGGGGATGTAGCAAACACCGGCGGTCAGACAGCTTTGATATTGGCATCTCTTGCCGGTCATGTCGACGTCGTGAGCTTGCTGCTAGAGGCAGACGCCGACAAGGATGCGGCAGACTTCGCAGGCCATACAGCTTTGATGTGGGCAGCCTTCCAAGGGCATGCTGAAGTTATGCGCTTGCTGCTGGGTGCCGGCGCAGACAAGGATGTGGCAGACAGCAGCGGCTTCACAGCATTGATTTCAGCATCTCGAGCAGGTCATGCCAATGTTGTAAGCTTGCTGCTGGAGGCCGGTGCCGTATAGGAGATTGCAACAGGTCGACACTGGCCAGAGTGCGGCAGACGACAGCGGTTCTACAGTTGGCTCGGGTGAACACATGTGTCACGTGGTCTGCTGGAGGCATCGGCACGGATGTGGCAGTCAACGCGAGCAATAGCTGAATAGCTTTGCGGCAGACGTGAAACAGCAGATGCGGTATGCAGAGTGCCGAGTTTATGGTTTACGGCATGTTCGGTCACTTGCCGGGCGCAGAGATGCTCAGATGCTGAAACTTCATCCTAAACAAACCCCTTACACCTAAAGCCCCTATACTCCGCTTTCTAGGAGACCCCGCCCCTGCAAAGTCGTAACATGACTGAGATCCTGCAGCAAGACCTCTTCTAGAAACAAACATTGTTCTTTCACGCTCCTTACTACTATTGTTGCTGTTGTCGCTAGTGTTATTATTTTGATAAAGTACACAATAAAGGAGCCCGAAATCCAGTCTAATCATTAAGACCTCTACATAACTCCAGACAAGAGGCAGCATCGGCCAGCCGTGCTGAAGGAGGCACGCAATGATGGGACTTGTCGGAAATCCGAAGATTAGACTGTGGTCTGCGGGGATATTATACTATAGTTCGAATAAGGAGTTCTAGGCCCCTGTGGGACTGCTGGCTCTGGTAGAAACAGCAACATCACAAAAACATGGTAGAGTCAAGAACACAGCAGAACGCCCCATTCCTCAACTCGAAACCCTGCAGTCCCCCCAAGAACCTATAGAAACCCAGAGATCGTTGAGGCTGCAGTTTTCCACGAACTCCATTTAGGGGTTAAGGCTTCAGGGTTCGGGAGCCCTGAACGGTAGTTGCACTGAGCCTGGAGAGCAGAAGCTTCCCACCACATACAACCAAGAACACTCCCGAACCGTTCATCTGACATATCTTAGATGGGTCTTCGCAAATGAGCCATACGGTTTTAAATTATCTACTCCGAAGCACGAGCTAAGTCCAACCCTCGGAGTACCGGGCTCGATTTTGCTAGCATTTCCATACAGCCGACTCTTCGCATGCTACCACCCAGCGAAGGGGTGGGTACTGGGTTTGCAGTACCTCCCTAAACCAATGTCCCGCTTGTGAGGGATCCTCAAGTGATTGCCGCAAGGGCCCCTTATTCGGAGACTCCTCCGTTTGTCTGTTTGCTTGTGCGAGCGTGTGTGCAGATGTCGTGATGTGAGCCTTGCCATCTACCTGCCTCCGCACTGCAATTGTCATTATAATTGTAATAATTAGTCGTCGTTTGCCGACGGCTTCGTCTTACGATTCTTCTTGCTGTCCTTCTTATGGTAGCACTTTTTCTGAAGGTGTCTTATATCAGGATGATAGTAGTGCTTGTTTCGTCAAACCTTTAGGAGCTGTCCACAGGTCTAGGTTGCAGTGGTCGGAACAATTACTTATTACTAGTATTCCCCGATAGTCCCCTTGTGATCATGTTAATTATGGCATAGCACAAAGTCGTATTCTAATCATTCAGGCCCCTACATTAGGTGGCAGCGGTTGGGAGTCGTTTAGAGCTTGGAGGTTTAGGGTTCAGGGTGTAGGGTTGATGTTCCACGAGCTGCGTTCAGGAGACGGTTCCTGTGGATACGTAAGCAAGGAGCCACCGCTGAATCCTAGCGACACTTCACGTTTAAGACTGCATCTGTCTACGCCGACCCTTGAGCACATCTAGTGCAGAAGCAAACCCTAACTCTAAACTCTAAACCCCTAATTAAGCCCTAAACGCCTAAACCCCTAAACCCGAAGCCCCTAAACCCTAAAAACCTCTAACCCCAAAGCCCCAAGCTCTCAACCAAATGCAGTTGGGCCGGTTTTTTCTAGAGACTCCTAGCCCACTCAATGAAGGAATATATGCCTTACGTCATCTTAGGGTTCTTATCATAGTTTAAGAGACATTCCTTAATTAAGCCTTACATCATTGTAGGGTTCCTATTATAGTTTAAGAGATGTTCCTTAACTAAACCTTACATCATTGTAGGGTTCTTATTACAGTTTAAGAGACGTTCCTTAATTATGCCTTACATCATCTTAGGGTTCCTATTGTAGTTTAACAGATATTCCTTAATTAAGGGGTTTTGGAGTCTCTGTTTTCCCGAAGAGCAGGAGGAGATCGACCTCATCGGCCCGGGTAAGATGGCAGCGCGATTGCAAGGATAGGGGTTTGGGGT